TTGAAGTATCGTAGGGTAAGTATAACTCGTCCTCATAGAACATGTTGAGATATTCGCCCTTAGTATGGAGTCGAACAATCATGTCGACATCCTTATAGCAATACCAAAAAATATTATATCAGCGAATCTTTTAGTTGTCGATGAGATTTGTTAGAACTTGAACTCAGTGAAGCCTTATGACACCTATAGGTAGCCATTTTGTATGGACAAGCTCGTGCTAAGGATGGTTGAGGAGAATTGAGAGAAAGTGTTGTGGAAGAAATGAAGAGAAAGTGCCCTTCCTCGAAGGGCAATAGAGTATTTCTAGAAAAAAAATTAAAGGCCCAAATTCCGAGACTTGAGTCACATTCATCATCAATGAGCCAGATCCCGTGCACATCCCAGTTGAAAACTCTATTCATGAGGGATTGAAAAGTGGTTGGCACGTTGGTAAGGCCAAATGTATTACCAAAATTTCTTAGTGACTCTCATGAGTCTTGAAAACTGTCTTGTGCACATCCCTCAACTTCATTTTGATCTGTTAGTAGCCCAACTTTAGGCCAATCTTTAAGAAGATGATCGCCTCAAGCAGATCATCTAGCTGCTTATCAATCATGGGGATGAGAAACTTGTCCAACACACTTTTCTTGTTTAGGGTCTTATAGTTCACACAAAACCTCCAACTATTGTCCTTTTTCACTAGTAATATTAGATTGGAAAAGAGGCTCACATTGGGCTTGATAATTCCTACCTCAAGCATCTCTTTGACGAGCCTCTCTATCTCATCCTTCTGAATCTGTGGGTATCGATATGGTTGGACACTAATAGGAGAAGCTCTCTCCTTCAAGGTAATGACATGCTCGTGCTCCCTGGGTGGCGATAATCTGCTAAGCTACTGAAAAACATCAAGAAATTGCCGTAGAAGCTAATACTCAGGGACCTCGATCGGCTCCAAATCTCGGACCTCACCATGCTCTGTAGCTCCACCAAGTAGCCCAGCCCTGCTCCTTGTATCGCCTTGACCATGATTTTTAGTGAACCATGATTATGCACATGCTGACATCTCCTTGCAACACCATCCTCTTCCATTCCACCTGAATCTCCATAGTCAAAGTTTTCTAGTCCACATTCATCTACCCAATCGTATGTAATCACTTCATCCCTAGGATCACATCGGTGCTCTCCAAATCCAATGGAAGAAAATCCTTTAATATATGTAGACTATGGAGTGTCAGCATCAACCCCCCTGCAAATTCCCCCCTACTCTTCTCAACCTTCCCTATCCCTCGTATTTGCCAACTTCAATCCCAACTGATCCACAACTCAATTTTAGATAAAGTTGTGAGTAGCATTGCTATCCATCGAGACCACCACTGGCCACTCCTTGATCTATCCCCTCACCTTCATGGTGTAATTTGGAGTAAATCTCACCATTGAGTTTAGGGACACTTCCACCACATCAATATAGGTGCTCTCATTTCATTTCTACTTCCTCCAACTCTTCGCTGTCGGTCTCCTCCTCATCACAAATTTTAAGGACTTCGAGTGTACGGTCCTTGCATTGATTACTTGGTGCATACTTCTCATCACATCAGAAGCACAAACCCTTCGCTCTCTTAAACTGTACCTCTGCCTCTGTGAGGCACTTGAAATTGTCCCTGGGGCGAACTCCTACACTCTTCTCCCTCGGCTTCTCCCGTTAAAATGACACTGTTTGGATCCTCAGTGTCAGTGAAGTCGAGGCAATCCTGTAGGAGCCTCCCATGATTCCGCTCCTACTGTTCCTCTTCATTTGTCTTCGATCGTTCACTATTTGGGCTAGCTCCATCATCTCTCTTAGCCTCATCATCCTCAACAATCGGAGGTTTGCTCTTGTGTCGGGCGTTAATTTTCCTCAAACACCGCCTACGAAATCCCCCTTAACCGCCCTGAGAACAACTCAAATCTCTCCCTATACTCCAATACGGTATCCTCTTGAGTAAAGGAAAAGATTTGCTTATGCAAGCCTTTTTATTAATATCTCGTAAACGCTCCAACAAGCAATCCGTAACTCCCAAAAGCGGATCAAATATCTGGTCTCTTTTCACTAAAACCAAGCTAAGGCTTTTGCCTCCGGACATAACTTTACAGCCATAAGCTTCTGCTCTCCATTCAACCCATTCACCGCTAAATACCTCTTCACTTGGTACACCCACCCATGGGAATCCTCCCCCACAAATATCGACATGTTTAACATTCTCACCCTAGCATCTCCACTCAAACTTCTTCTCCCTTCAATGGTTCCCCCAGTGTATCAGGGGTAGGAATCTCACCTTTCTTTCTTACTCTTTGCATGAATCGATCACCATGGCTTAGCTCGATCACATCCATCTCCGATCGCCCACCCCTTACTTGAAATGCCTCCAATAGAGGCCAGCCACCTCACCATCTCCACTGCAAAATTCCCTCCTTGCTCCCCCCATCCTGTTGATGAAAGAAACTCTCCTTGTCGAACTCCTTCAGCCTGATCTCCTTTCCCTTAGATTTTGCCAAGGGAATCCTGATCAAATCTTAGTTAGGGTTAGCAATTAGAACTGCTAGTGGAGTTTTGGATTGCATCTCCATGAGCTTCTTTATCATCTTTTCCAACCCTCCAAATCAGTTCTCCATCCGATTGTCCATAGCTGAAAACCTTCCTTTGATGGTTGAGAACCTCCCCTCTATCCCGTATTTGATTTGCTCCACTTCACCTTCCAACACATCCATCTTCTTTGCTGCAATCTCTTCAAAATCTCGCTCTGATACCAATTTGATGTGTCTTGTAAGCAAAAACAATAAATTAGATAAGAAGAAATTGGAGGGAAGTATGGGGGCTAACTTTTTATTACTCCAACTATAATGAAAGATACAATTGGTCAATCATTCGAGAGGTAGATCGGCTCTCTCACAAATCCTAGCTGTTGCTAGAAACAACTTTAAAAAGAATTACAACAAACAATCTCATAATGATAGTAAAACAACCCAATTAATATAATCCTTCCTACTTACCTTCCAAATTTGAATTCAAATTAGCCCTCTTTCTCTAAATTTAATATTTACTGATTCAAATTAGTCCTCTTTTACTGAATAAAAACATTCTAAATAGCTCCCGCTTAATTCCTTTTTACATAATGAATAATAGCTTTCTTGCCCACAAGGGGGACCGAATTTCCGCCTCCTGGCGCCCTTGGTTCTGCCCAGCTACATTGCTGGTTCGGGCCGGCCTGGCTAGGCTGATCTTGGCTAGGTGTATTAGATGTTTATGCATTGGTTTTCGATGACCACTCTCTACTTCTCTTGGTTAGCAATAGGAATGTTAAGTGTTGGTTGTTGACAACATCTAGCTGTAGTTGTACAACAATGGTTATAGAACAGTGCTTTGCTTGTCGACTACAATGCAATATTACTCTTAGCTTTACTAGAATTTGAGACGTTTAACTTTTATAAAATAATTGAGAGAGAAAGAACAAAGAAAATGACAATAAAGATGACCTCAATGATTGGAGATCTGCCAAATATTTTATTCAATTATCCTCAAGTCCAATTATAAAATTGGTCATGTAGTTGAGTTATGAAATAACTTGGACAAACAATCTCATAAGTAGTAATATCTTTTTCTCAACTCAAGCTGTTGAATTGGTTCTCAAATAACCAAACTTTCTGAGCTCCCTGCTCAATTGATTCCATTTTACCTCACCTAACCAAACATAGGCGATATCTAAGAGATTAAATAATTTTAGTAATTTTCATTCCATGTTATTGAAATTTGTTCACTTTTGCTTGTCTGAAGCTTATAAGCATTCTTCCCAAACTTCTTTTTAATAATAAAACTTCTTTTAATTAATATAAGGTTCTTCCTTGCTATTTCAGAAATTTCCCCATGTCGGAATGCTTTCTGATGATCTCTGTTTTTCCAAGTACTAGGTCACCAAGTTATATGCTCTGCCTTTTTGTTTTCTGATTGTCTCAAAAGATTTGTTTTTTCTCTCCTCTAGTATGGTTCAAACAATCTCCTTATAACTAATCATTGTTCTGAATCCAATTTGAAGCCTTTTTCAGACGGCAATGAGAGAGTTTCCTTCTGGCAGAAATCCTCTGAAGGGATCATTCCCTCGTATCCAAAATCCAATTAGAAGGCCGTTTCTCCAATAATTGTTGATGGCATGGTTCCATATTCCCATAAAATCGATGATAATTCATCCATCCAACTTCTTGGATTATTAGAAATTCTCTTCCTGAGTGCATTTATGACGAGGTTGTTGGTAGCATGTTTTTCTAAGATAGTTCCATAACTTTCTAGCTGAAATTATTTTGTTTTGAGTACCTTTTAAATTAGTAAAATATATGCTTAACGGCTATTGAAGGTTGTTTCGAGGAAGGCTATTTTCCCAGCTTTCCGTGCGCCATGGAATTGCAATAGCTTTATTAGGACACTAGTTGGTATTATCAAATGGGCATCTTTTTGTGGAATTATTATTAATTTGTGTTTAAATTTCATGTTTTAGAACTAACAAAGTATCATGCATCTCGAGAAGAATTAGAATTTGAAATTATATAAAAATTTAAACAATAAGGAAAAATTAGAATGAATACAATGTCAGTACAGAATAAGTAGAATAAAATATTGTAAGATTATCTTAGAAGCTAAATTTGAAGAATAGCAAATCAATGTTTTGAGAGACAAAACAAGTAATTGTTAAAAAGTTAGAAGTCAATTTGAGGATAATATGCTAATTTTCAGAACTTTTGAAGAACAGTTCACAGCCTAAGCCCTTGCGCATACATGTTTGTGCTGGACCTGCTGGTACTATTTCTGGTCGTTTGGAGAAAGCATGTGTTTTTTATCTTGAAATATGATGAACAAAATCTTTTCTTGACACTTCAAATTTTTATGCTGATGTCTTCTTGACACTTCAAATCTCCTCAGCTATCATTGTCTTAGTTTCATTCTTCAACCTACTGTCTTACTTGCACTTTCTTCTGATTACATTTGAGTCATATAGGTGTTCAATGCAGCTGAAGTGCCTATTGAGTGGGAGGAACATTATGTGGGGGACAAAGTAGACCCAAGAACTGAGAGCTTTTTAACATGGGAAAGTCTAGAATCCGTGCGCAGAAATGGTGTGGGCCTTAAAGGTCCTATGGCTACACCTATTGGAAAAGGACATAGGTCATTGAATCTTACCTTAAGGAAAGAATTGGGTCTCTATGCCAATGTCCGACCTTGTTACAGTCTCCCTGGCTACAAAACTCGATATGATGATGTCGATCTCGTTACAATTCGTGAGAACACTGAAGGGGAATATAGTGGCCTGGAACACCAGGTATCTTCTGTTGGAAAGCGTCAAGACATGTATGTACTTGCATACTTTCCATTTATGCTTCTCTTAACGTTCTTTTCTCCCAGGTTGTCAGAGGTGTTGTAGAAAGTCTTAAGATCATTACCCGCCAGGCAAGTTTGAGGGTGGCAGAATACGCTTTTCATTATGCCAAGACAAATGGTCGTAAAAGAGTTTCTGCTATTCATAAAGCCAACATAATGAGGAAAACTGATGGCCTTTTCCTTAAGGTGTTTTTGGATACTTGATATATAGACATTCATATCCAAAGTAGAAAGTTAATACGCGAGTTATATCTCAAGTGTACTTCTTTTCCAGTGTTGCCGTGAAGTTGCTGAGAAATATCCTGATATTACTTACGAGGAAGTCATCATTGACAACTGTTGCATGATGGTATGGCTAAATTTTATTGGATTTTGAATGTTCATCATTGTTTTAAGCCTGACAATCAATATGCTTGTCTTCTACAAATGGTGGGATTACAAGAATTGCTATAGAATGCTCCATATTTTGCTCTCAAATTCGAACTTAACTGAGAGATTTTTTATGCATTTTCATATGTAGCAGTTATTACCTTAGCGTAGTTCAACTCATAGAGCATAACTTGTAACTAATGCCAACTTAATTCTTACCTCCCCTTCTTTCTCGGCCTTGATTTTGCCTGAACAGCTCGTGAAGAACCCAACTTTGTTTGATGTTTTGGTGATGCCTAATCTTTATGGAGATATCATCAGTGACCTCTGTGCTGGCCTTATCGGTGGACTGGGTTTGACTCCAAGGTAAGAATGAACAACATTCTCTTTCTCAGCTCATGCGCTCTGATCTTCCTTGTAATAATCATGCAAAATTTCCTTCAGCTGCAATATTGGTGAAGGTGGCATTGCTCTAGCTGAGGCTGTGCACGGCTCAGCTCCTGATATTGCGGGCAAGGTGATCCACGTCTCTAAATTCTCTCTCTTCTGCTTGTTCATAAAGAAACCAAGGCACCACACATGTACATTTTGGCATCTAAGATGATAATATCTAATGTGACATCATGGGCCAATTTGATTGCTTGAAGTATATAACATGTTTTATGAGTTGAAATTTGTTAGATTCCATTATATGGTTGGATTCCATCAGAAATCAATATAGGCTATAAAATCCAAAACATGCCTCCTAATCCTCTTTGATTTTGGTATTTTCACACATAAAATGGTTGAAAACAAACTTATTATTGTCCAAATTGTTTTTCTTTCTTGTTGCTTCTTAAAGCAGCTTTCTAATATAAAAATTTTAATTTGTATTAAAAAACTGCTTTAAGAAGTAAGAAAAAAGCCGTCCCAAATGAAGCCTAAGTTGTCTATTTTGATTTGAAGTTCATGACTTCGAATTTAAAAAAAAAAAGATCATTGTATGCATATAGAGATAAGCCTGCTTCATGCATAAATTTCTTCTTTATATATTATACTTCTATTTTCTTTCTATCAACCGAGCAGAATCTAGCAAACCCGACTGCTCTCTTGTTGAGTTCGGTCATGATGCTGCGCCACCTACAGCTGAACGACAAAGCTGATCAGATCCATAATGCGATTCTCAGCACCATTGCTGAAGGAAAATACCGAACTGGTGATCTGGGCGGCAAATCTTCCACTTCAGAATTCACAAAGGCTGTCTGTGATCATCTGTAGGAAATTTGAGATGTTCTCAAGCTCAATCAGAATGATAATTTTTTTCTCTTACATGAAACAAATTACGTTTTGTGTTCCTTTTCTGACTTCATTTACTTTGTAATATTATTACCAAGCGAGTGTTGTAATAATAGTCTGCCATGCAGCTCGAGTCACGATTTTTGTTGGAATCTATTTGGATTTATAGATAGTTTTCATATTCAGTGGAGCTAACCAATTAACTATGTTTTTTGGTGAAACCATTATGAACATATTGTCTAGCTTTATAAGCATTTTTTAGTTTGAGATGTCTGAGGTACTGTGGGTAAATTGAACTGAATATGAAAACTATGACTTATGCATTGGTTGAGAGTTTTGATTATCAATTAAATTGCCTTGGATTTGAAGCTTGTATATGTGATATGTGTGTGAGTTTGTCATAATCAGACTAACTTTCTCAAGGAAAAAGAAAAGGAAAAGAAAAAAAAAAGCATGACTTAGGCATCTCCTGACGTTGACGTTGATTTAACCTGACTTTTACAAAGCTCATTGCTATGAGTGTGGGCAGCTCCCTATATCTATATTTTCGCCCTTCATTAAGAGTGATAAGGTCATTTGAATTTTAAAATGCTTATTTTGTTGGGTTGAGAGCTTAGGCTATTAAGTAAGAGGTTTTAAATTTGAATTATACATATATCATGTGTTGTATTAATTTGCTCTAAAGTAAAAAAAAAAAAAAGATTCTTTTTATAGTTGGGTGAGCACTCAAAGAAATTTAAACAATTTCATGATCAATTTCAATTAATATGCTATACATTTGAGAGCAAAATATAAAAAATAATATAGGGCTGTCAATATTGGACACGACATGAAAATTTGACACGGGCTCGACCCAGAAATTTTTGGTTCGGGTCGACCCGGTTTGAAAACGGGTTGGGTTCAGGTTCAAATATTTGACCCGATTTAAGTTTCGGGTTGTGTTCGGGTCAGCCCAAAGACACGATTTTGGCACGTTTTTAACCTGATTTCCCATTAATATTAAGGAATGCAGTGGCTGGCTCGGGCCTTGGCTTTTGACTTCGACTCTTGTTCTCTGATTCTCTGTTTCGCTCTGTGCCCTTGCCCTAGTTCTCTGACTTCCGTATGCATTCTTCGTGATTGAGCTTTGGTTGTAGACTTTTAAGCTCGATTTCTCAGATCGCAGGTGAAAAATTCAAATCTCCATCTCTCCCTTATTAGTTAGGTTTTTATTCGCAAGCTTTCGGCATGTATAAAGAGTCGAGACCACGGTAAACTTTTTGCTGCTTTGCATTTGGGATAATGTGATGAATACATTGCAAGATTTTTAGTCTTTAACTATTTATTATGAGTTTCCACAAATTTTTTTCATATTTGAGCTTCTCAAATGGAAACCCTAGAGGTGTAGACGCTGTGTGCAGCGTGTGCGATTAACAAAATCTAGAGGAGATGAATATATGATTACATGATTTGCAACTAATTATGATCCGAAGGCAAAATCCCTTTGCTATCTTTGTTTTCCTTCGTCCTTCGTTAGTTTTTTACTTTTTTTCTGCTTGCTGGGGTCATTATGTGCTATACGTTATGGAAATCAGGAAATGTTATCTTCTGTTTTATGGGGTTATAACTTATTAGTGCTTCAGAACATGATTTAGCACTGCTTCTCCATTTGTTATGCTTGCTGGAGCCATTGTGTGCTATATGCCTATATGTTATGGAAAATTCCTAATGTTGTTTTCTATTTTCTCATTTTCCGGAATATGGAGTAGGTGTGTGCTATATGTGGCAATTTTAACTTCTAAGTTGATGATGTTTGAGTTGGTTTTTGCTCTTATGGGATTTAAGGTTCCTCTGTGACTGTCATGTATATTGCATTGAAAGGGTGCATTTTTTAGAGTTATTATGATATTGGGTACTTCTATTTTCTATCTATTTTGCTAATTCATCTTCTTGATGAATTTACAATAACTTTAATAAATGTTGAACTCATTCTTCTCTTTGTTTGATGGAGGATTCTAACACAGTTGTTGGAAGTACTCCTTTCAATGAGAATGTTCAAGTAGCCAATGCTTCTAGTCCAGTTCACATAGAAAATGATGATGATGATTTCTGTAATATTGATGGAAAAGATTTAGATGGACCCTATACTGTGAAGAAAAGAAGAAGAACGAGTTCAATAGTTTGGGGTTATTATGAGATGTCACCCCTTCCTAGTGATGGAAAACAGAGATGTACATGTAGGAAATGTGGGGAAATATATCAGTGTGATAGCAAGTTAGGCACTCGCAATTTAAGACGTCATTTACAAAATTGTAAAAAAAAAGAGACAATCGTGACATTGTGAAGCTTATTTTGCAATCAAATGCCAGCTCATCCATCTACATGTCTGAATCTAAGTTTGACATACATGAGTTTCGTGAGTTATTCACTGCCTGCATAATTATACATGATCTTCCATTTCAGTGTGTTGAATGGGTTGGTCTTCGTGCATTATTGCATTATCTCCGTTGTGATCTGCAAATAGTTTCTAGAAATACTGACAGAAGTGACTACAAGAAGATGTTTGTAAAAGAGAAAATTGTTATTTAATAGGAGATTTTCAAATGTACCAGCGGAGTTTCATTTACATCTGACTTATGGACATCAATTAATACTTGATTGCTTTATTTGCTTGACTGCCCATTTCATTGATAACAACTGGGTGTTGCAGAAAAAGATAATTAATTTTGGTTTCATGTCACCACCACATGATGGAATTGCTTTATGTGAAAAACTTCATTCTTTTTTCACTGAATGGAAAATTCAAAATAGAGTTTTCAGTTTTACTCTAGACAATGCTTCATCTAATAATGTTTATGTTCAGTTCTTAAGAAACCAATTAAACTTGCGTGGTGGATTGTTATGTAAGGGTGAATTTTTTCATATAAGATGTTGTGCTCATATTGTGAATCTTATTGTGCAAGAGGGAATGAAGGAGGTTGATGTGTCCATTGCTAATGTAAGAGAAAGTATCAAATATGTGAAAGGTTCACAAGCAAGAAAGCAAAATTTTTTGGAATGTGCCAAGCAAAGCTATCTTGACTCTAAAAAAGGATTACGACAAGATGTTCCTATAAGGTGGAACTCAACATTCATCATGTTAGATTATGCTATTTACTATAGACGTGCTTTTCAACATTTGGAACTACTATATTCTAATTTTAAAACTTCCCCCAGTAACACTGAATGGTATAGGTTAGAGAGCATTTGCAAGTTCCTTGCTCCTTTTTATGAGATTACTTGTGCTTTTTCTAGAACAAAATATCTCACATCAAATCTCTTCTTCCCTTGTATTTCTACGGCTTATGCTGCACTTAAGCATGAAACTTCTTATGGGGTTGACTACATAAAAAAAATTGCAGTAAAGATGTTAGTCAAATTTGAGAAGTATTGGTTTGATTTCAGTGATATATTGGCAATAACAGTTATCTTGGATCCTAGGTACAAGTTTACATTTGTTGAGTGGTGTTATAGAAAGTTATATGGAGATGAATACGTTATTGAGACCAAAATGGTTAGGGAGAAAGTATTTGCTTTATTCGCGAACTATGAAAAAGTTGAACGACATTCGTCTAATGGTCAGTTATCAGTAGGCTCAGAGAGTTCTCAAGTTGAAAGCACAATGACCGTTCCTCCAATAATTATAAAATCACAGTTTTCTTCAGGTATGATTCATTTTCATTCATTCAATCTATGAGCCTATGACTACATTAACATTATCTATTCACTAACTTCAACTTTATATGCACAAATTTATAATTAGGATTACGACTCATTTGAAGGGGAAATTACACTGCCTAAGAAGTCACAACTTGAAATGTATCTTAAAGAACAAAAAATTGATAGGAAGGTTAAGTTAGACATATTACATTTTTGGAAAGTTAATCAATACAGGTATCCTGAAGTGGCCGTTATGGCACGCGATGTTTTATGCATTTCCATTTCCACAGTAGCTTCAGATAGTGCATTCAGTAACAGTGGTAGTGTACTGGATCAATATAGAAGTGCTTTAAAACATGAAATAGTTGAAGCCTTGGTTTGCAATAAAGATTGATTATATGGATATAATGATAATATTTCATTTATTTGAGATTTTTTAAGAACAAGTTTTCTGTCATAACTTTATAGTAATACATATTTTCTTTTGTAGCTGTGAATGATACATAACTTGATAGTACAACTGAGGACATCATGCTTAAATATGGAAAACATTGCCAGTGAAGACGGTAATGGTTCAGTTAAAAGAGTACCCTAGGCTATCCTGTTGGCCGTTGGGAAAGAAGTTCTTACTTCTAAGAACTACGTGCTTTGATATTTATATGTATTTTCTTTGAACTCAGGTGTTGTTTTGTTAGTGGCTTGCTGTTTCAGATTTCAGAACACTGAACACCTGCTTTCAGCCTTTAATATTTATGTTTTAATGTTTTATACTTTTATGTTGGGACTTGGGAAAGAAGTTCTCACTTCTAAGAACTACCTGCTTTCAGTCGGTTTTGCCTGTTGGAGGCTGGACCAAAGCATATATGTTGGTATTCAGTATATGTTTATATATTTCATGATGTTTTGAATTAACCTGTTGTAGTGCTGTTGGTGTCTGTTTTGGGGTTTTGCCTGCTGGACCTGTATTGCTGTATGCCTGTATTCATTGGATTGAAGATTTGCCAGCTGAATCAAAGAATTTGAATTTCTAATGCTTAATTAATTCATCTGCTTGATGAATAATGAGTTAAGGTAAAGTGTATAGCTATGAAAGCTCAAGCAATGATGAAAAACCTTGTCAACCGAATGTGAGAGCTGTCGCCATTGGGCGTTGGGTTAAATATTATTCACTATTGCAACCATGTGGCAATATGGCATTTTTAAGATACTACTTTTAGTTAAATGCGCGGCCTTGGATGGTAATAGAGAATTAGAAAAATTAAATGAGTTGAATGGTTTACCTGAGCTATTTGTTAAAGCTTTCTAGTTATACTATCTCATATTCTCATTGTTTAGCATGTTATAGTTTTTATTTGTTTAGGATTTTTAATTGTTTAAGTTTTGTCCCTCTTACTTTTGCAGTTAATTCAAATTGAAGTGTGAGAGCCTGAGAGGTATAATACTTTAATGATATATTCAAGTTGGAGTGTAGTTGTAGTGCAAGATATAGTTTGAGATTATTATATTATTTTGTAAGAAATTTATCAATGTAACATTGTAATTTCAATTTGTAAAGCCATTTACTCAAGTTTGAAAAGCCATTT